AAGGATGCCCAAGAGTTGACCAGACAAACTCTCTCCTAAGGCAATGTACCTCAAACTAGGGTTTCCATTTTCATCAGGGTGTGGGAACTCCAAAGGTCCCAAATTCCTTCCATGGTCCCAATATGTTCTCAAGATCATACATGTCAAGTTTCATGCCTTGCACAAGAAGTTTGCTCAATCAATTGCCCAGATGCCTAAAAATCAACTATACTAGGTCAAAAGTCAATTGTGGCCCACATACAGTCAAACTTCAAGATTTTTGGTCAACATCAACATTTTGAAGAGATATCCATCATTTTATCAAGGGTTGATCATGATTCCTCAAGGAATGCCCCAAAATTCATCAAAACCCAAAAGTTGCTAAATTAGGGTTTCACAGGAAAAGTCAATCAAGCTTTGACCATGCATAACTTCTTCATACTTTATCAGAAATTTTCCATCCAAGACTCATTTTGAATAGGATGAAATTCCTTACAACTCATCTTCATGCCATAAGTTCAAAATATGCACTCATCAAAAGATATGAATTTCTACATTATAGGTCCTTTTGAAAAGTCAACAAAAACACCTTTTGAGTCAAAGCTTCTTACATGAACATGGAAGACCCAATTGAGATGAAACCAAAAGGGTTGTTTAGGGGACATACTAAGCTTTCTAAAAAGTAAAAGAACACCCCTCTAGGGTTAAAATTGGAGGAGATATGCCTTGTCAAAGTTGACCATTTTTGCAAAATTGCCAAAAGTCAAATGTGCTCAAAAGTGCATTTTTTTGTCAAATGAACCTAGTTTTTCATGATTGAAGCTTGTTGGAAACATGGTCCACGACCCAAATCAGAATCTACACTTTATTTTCTTATTTATTTATTTTACTTTGATTTTTATTTATTAAAAGTTAGGTTAAATCAAATAAATTGCAAAAAAATATAAAAGATTGATTTTTGATCTGATTTTTGTAGGAATCACAATCCAATTAGGCTGGCATATCAGATCAAATCATGCAAGGGATGATTAGAACAAAGATGGCATGATTAGGCCTAATTGGAAACATATCATACAAGGAGTAAAATCATATCAAATCTCCATGATTTACCAAGATACAAATTGTTTTTGTTGACCTAATGTGCTCTAGTACAAATACAATGCGCAGCCAAGGCAAGAGAAAGAGGATTGGAGTCGCTGAAAGCATCAAAGAAAACTCAAAATTTTACAAAAAAGGTATGGATCGGTTTCTACCCTAGAGGGCAATTCAAACCATTCCAAAGCTATCAATCGTTCCCTGGACATCTCCAGAACATTTTCCAATCATTTGCAAGCCTTCCCAAGCCCAGAAACAGGAGATACGATTCTCACAGCTTGGTTCATCTCTTGAATATGAGTTTGATCATTCACGTATGATTAGTCACTTTTAAGCATATCATTGTGTTTGTATCATCATTTGGAATGTCTTAGCTTACTTAATTTTGCATTTTGATGCCTGTATGCATATTTTCCATTGCTAGGGTTTACCTTGTCGTTTTAGGGCTTTCAAATGCAGGAACAGTTGGCCCTAATAAAGGACACCATTATGATCAGAGGGTCAAACCCAATTTATCCCTGGTCTTGAATTTTATTTATATTGCTTAAACGTGATTTTTAAAGTGCACAGGTTATGGCTATAGACATTGTCTGTAGGTAAAAGTCTTTGCCTAAGACGACGGTCTCAGCGAAGAAGACAGTTGCATGGCGAGGCGTGAGTGAGATGTTTGAATCTCGCGCGTTTTTTAATGCATTGACTTTTCATTCTATAAAATATATTGTTTGTATTATGTAAACAATTGAAACAGATGGCCCAGTGGCAAGGGCGCACGTTTGAAAGCGAAAGGACCTAGGTTCGATCCCATGTCCAAGAATTTTGTTATTTTCCTAATATTTGATTACATATTCCATACTCCACGTTTCCAGGTGCCTACCATGCAACCCAAAATTCAGTCAATGGATCGTTCATACTCCAGATCTAGCGTTTAGTCAAGAGAGAACCATGGTACACCATCAGAAAAATGATGCACTGAATTTAGTGCAGGAAGTGGGCTCAGCAGTTCTTGGGCCTGAACAAATTCAACATCAAAAACCACAAAAACATCAAAAACCATTTTTTTAATTCTTTTCTCTTTATTTTCTTTTTTAACACAGGCCCAATTCTTTAATTCTTTTCTCTTTATTTTCTTTTTTAATTTATTCATTAATTATTTTCTTTTTACAAAATAACCTAAAAAATCATTTTTGTATCAAATCAAAAACCACAAAAACATCAAAAACCATTTTTTTTTCATAAAAATATTTTATTTCCATAATTAATTAGTTTAATTTAATTTAGGGTAATTTAATTCCTTTTTTATATAATTAAAATCAACTAGAATTAGGTGTAATTTTGTACATAATTCAATTTTTTTCTCAAAAATAACCTAAATATTTTTTCAATTAGATTTTTAGGATTCTTAATTCATCATCGCATTAATTCGCCGCGTTCATTTTTAATTCTTTTATTATTATTGTAACTGCTCCGGGTTTGTAATAGATTTAATTAGGTTTTTCAATTCCGCACTTTATTTTTGGTCAAAATAATTATGTATCTGCAAAAGCCTTGTAATAGCTAGGACTTTAACTTTCTCGCTTTAATTTCTGCAAACTATAAACTGCTTAGATGAATGTTAATAGGATTGTATGGAAAGACTAACTGAAAATTAATACAGTAGAAAACCCTAATCGTGCAAAGATAATTAACTGAAAAATTACACTTGCACATGCTCACTCCTAGGGTTTAATCCACTTCGGTTGCCTTCGGTAAACGGTCATGAAGTATAAGGTTTATTAGTGGTTGTCCTCTAGCCCCAAAAGATCTAAAATGACCCATTCGAATGTTGCTTCGGAAAAAGATCTTTAAGGCTTTAGGAGGATTACTAATATTTCCTAACATTGCTTTTGTGATCGTATTTGTCCCTTCGAATGTCTCTAAAAAACTCCAATGACGATGCTACCTATTTCTCAATAATGGGATAGCATTGTCTAAAAGGAAAACGAACAGACTTTTTTCGAGTAGGTAGATTAGTTCCTAGGTACTTGCTCAAACAAACAAATTTTTTTCACACCAACACTTTTCAAACAAAGTTTTCAAAAACAACTTCGTAACACTCTTGAGGATAGAAACAAGGGTTAACACGAAATAAAACAAAACTTTTCAAAACAAAGCACACACAAGCATTTTTCAAAATGAGCAAGTACCTAAGAGCCCGTGGAAAACCAAAGATAGAAAGGGTGTTAACACCTTCCCTTTCTATAATCTACCCCCCGTACTCAGAAACATCTCGAAAAAGGTTTTTTCTATTCTTTTTTCTTTTCCTGATTGGATAAAATAAAAGTCGGTGGCGACTCTTGCTTACCGCGACATTTGCAAACAAAAAACGTAAACCAGTATTAACAGTCGGTTCTGCCACTGTATCACAGGTTGCTTGTTCGTCTATTTGTCTTTTTAAAGAGGATGGCGGTCTTGGGGTAAAGAATTGTGAGGCGTTTAATTCGGATTTGATGAATAAATGGGGCTGGAAAATTTTATCTGAGAGTGAGGCTTTATGGCACAAAGTTCTTTCCTTCAGATATGGGAATATTAGGATGGTTGTCTGTGATAACTCTCTTCCATTTTATCGTTCGAAAGCTTCTATTTGATGGAGGGACTTGAGGATTTTATTGAGTATTTAGACCTCTGACTTTTGTTGGTTCAGTTGTAGCTTATCTTGTAAAGTGGGCATCAGTGATGAGCTTAATATTTGGAGAGATTATTGGATTGGCGCGGACCCTCTATGTGTTCAATTCCCTTTTCTGTTTGATGTTTTGCTTGCGTTGATGATGTGTATATCGGCTACTGGCTATTGGGCGCAGTCTCTTTGGGTTTGGAGTTTCTGCCAGTTCCCTTCGGAGATCCTGGGTTTTGCCACGACAGCTGATTTTGCTTCTCTTTTGGAGGTGTTACAGCATGTTTTCCCGATATCGATTGCTCGGGATCGGGATCAGTTTGTTTGGAGGTGGGATCCGGGAGACTTTTGCGTCAAGTCTGCTTATGCCAGTTTGATGTCGTGTGTAGAGCGCCAGATGATGTAGGGGTTGAGTGACAAGAAAGCATTACACTATATTTGAAAGTCTAGTGTTCCCTCAAACGTGTCTCTTTTTACTTTGAGATTGATTTTGGAGCGACTTCAAACTAAAGATGAGCTTACAAAAAGGGGTGTCTTATCATATATTCATTGTCTCATTTTCCCGCTTTGTTTGGGTCCGGAGGAAACTCATACACATCTCTTTATTTATTGACTCGTCGCCGAGGAGGTTTAGATTTTGATTTTGGCTTGGATGAGGTCTTTCTATTCTAAGCCTTATGTTGGTTCTTCGGAGTATCTGTTGTTGTTCATTTCATCAATTGGGGGAAGGTCAAGAAAGAGTTTATGTGACTCATTTAGTTAGCTACTGTGAGGGCCATTTGGTTGATCCAGAACGAAATTATGTTTAAAGGAGGTCTTAAAGGGAGTCGGGATATTGTAATTTTAGAGAAATCTTTATCTTGGAATTGACTTTGTGCTAGATCTTTAGGACAGCTTCGTGAGACTAGAGAGATTTGGTTATCAAATCTGATGGAATTGTTGTTGTAATCTTTTCTTTTCTTCCTTGTATTTAGGCTGAGCACCTCTCTTTAAATACATCTCTTTTGTTTATAAAAAAATAATTGGCCTTCACAAAAAAATAATACAAAGAACTAAGCATTATTCGCATTTTATTTGAATAGAGTATATATAGAATTCTCAATAGACTAAAACTGATATGAAAGTGGTACAAATAATTTATTTATTTGATCATGTGCTAATTGAACATAGACACACACAAAATATATAAAATCAAAGAATTATAATAATAAAAACAGAAGCAAACAGACATTTGACATAACTACTATATGATAAGTTCTCCTTCATTCATCATCTTTCAGAACCTTGAACGCTTACACTCGACGGGAATACCTTGTGGGAATCGCTTAAGATCATTGCAGTAATTATATATCATAAAGTACTTCTGAACCCATCTCAATCTTCTTCTACCATAAGCATCAAGCTCATTGCTCTGCAATGTTGAATCAGAGAATGAGTTGGAAGAGAGTTCGGTGGCTTTGAAATTGCGGTAGTAAGCTGTAAATGGTGCTTTGGACCAATCCGTTTTCACCAAACCACCTCGTGTAGCCCAATCATCAGCATTCCATAGACTTGAATAGATTCTCATTGGTTGGTTCTTTGGAAATGGAACACCGACAGATTCAGCATTCTTGAACAATCTTATGAGAATATTGTCAACTAAGAATCTGCATTTAGTTATATGAAATTGTTATTTTATGTTTGAAGCAATTAATTGAGATATGTTTATACAAACTAGATATGATTTGATTAATTACATAATGTGCTGTGGCTTCCAGATGATAGAGTAAGTGTGGAAGTTCTTGGTTGGGTCGAACCAGAGATAGAATTGCTGTTCTCTGTTTCCTTTGCCTTGAGAAAACACGTTTGTATGGAGAATGTATGGATCACCGCTAACATTCCCCAAGAACTCAAAATCAATCTCATCATGGGTTGGTCCTTGTGATGATAACTGCACCATATATATGAAGATAATATATTATCATGAAGAAGCAAAAAAAAAAAGAATAACTTTTGATATCATCATGAAGAAGCTATGTTAATGAAAGTAGGTTTTGGAAAAGAAGCAAAGAATATTAATACATAATGTTAAGAAGACATGAAAAGAATCAAAGTGAATGAGTATATAGAGAAGAAAAAAAGTTGTAGTTACGTAGTAAGCAGTGACGGTTCCAGCAGAGTTTCCAGCAACGAGTTTGAGTTGCATATCAATCCTACCAAATAAATATTCTCTCTTGGATTGAAATCCTGAGCCAGAGGTTCTGTCTAGAGAAAGAGATAGAAGCTGACCATTGTTGAATATCTTAGCGCGATGATCACCCCATGTAACATCAAAGTCTTGGTTGAAATTAGCAGAACATGTAGCTACCAAGGCGCTAATTATCATAACTCCAGCGAGAAGCATATTATCGTTAATAGAAAAAGCCATCGGACACAAAAGTGTTTGTTATTTAGTAATTGTTTTTGTTGTGATGTGAATGATACTAATAGGTTAGAAAGAGGGTATATATATATATATGTGTGCGTGTGTTGGCGGTTCGTATGTATTTGAATGAGAATAATATGTAGGGTAGTGGGACGCGTGAAGGGAGGGAGTATCCTCAAAAGCTGGTGACAGCATTGCAAGTTTTGAAAGCTGGAACATTTTGTTTGGTCATTGATATTTAAATATGCTTATACTTTTTTGTCTTAACAATGATGCTAAATAGTTATGGTTTGGGTTTATGGAGAGAACTAACGTTATGAATTATGTACTAAACAATGATTATCACCGCGTCCTAATTATCAGACATACGGCGGCAGGCTCATAACCAAATTTGAATGCATGAAGGAACCTATATTCCAATAATTTTTAATATTTAAATTTTTAATTTTGATCTTTTTGAAGAGATGCTTTAAAAAAAACACCCAATAGAAAACTCTAAAATAAACTAAATAAACTTTTGGAAGAATTATTTTAAAGAGTTTGGTAGAGATTTTGAAAATATTTCATTAAATAATCGTGGTTATTTCGTATTTATTTTAAGAGAAATATTATGAATATTCTCCATTTAAATACTCTCTAAGACTCACTCTTTTATTTAATAAAATTTACGATCATATATTTTGAATAATATTCACATAACATGGGAAAATCTACATGAATCTCATCAAATAAAAAATTTTATTAAAAAAATTGTTGAAAAGAAAATGATTTAAATATTTTTCTTATTATAAAAAAATATATATATAAAAAGATTCTTTTAAGAAAATTGTGCGGGATTTTTGAAAAACCTCTCCTAAATACCTCAAATATTTAGCAATATTTACTTTATTAAAACATAAAAAATTAATTGATTTTCAAATAATGATTTTTAAAAAATATCAATATTATAAATTTAAAAATTCCATTAAAATATAAGAATATTTTGAAAATTTCTTTAATGTTAAAGTTTTCATCTGTTATTCAATCTATATAAGTTCTAATTTGATTTCTAAAATAAATGAAAGTTTTCCTATTTTTTTATATAAGCAATTTTGTATTAAACAACACAATGGATGCTAATCCAATACAAACAACAAAAAAATAAATGAAAAATTAGATGAAAAAACAGCCATCTATAAACCAACATACATCAAAGGATTTGCAATCCACACTTCCCTATTTTTTTATATAAGCAATTTTGTATTAAACAACACAATACAATGAATGCTAACCCAATACAAACAATAAAGAACAAAGGAGAAACAAAACTAAAAAACAGTCATCTACAAACCAACATATATAAAAGGATTTGCAATCCACACTTCCTTATCTAAAGCTAAACTTCATTTAACCAAAATAAAAAACCAATCATATCCCAAAGATTTAATTGGGAAGGATGAAGCAAAGATAAGGATGAACAATGTGGTTAACCTATAGCAAACTTGTCCCAAACAGAACTACACTGGCCCTGCACTCTCGCCATTTAACCTTCCGAAAAAGTCATCCCCCAAACCAACCAACCAGTTAAAAATCTCCCCCAAACCTGCCTCGAACCACTGCAACATAAAATTGGCTATGAAATTCATTATGCTGCTGACAAATAGGGCACAAATCTGACTAACATCAAGCAACATTCCTCTCTTGAATAGTTAAGTTCTAGTGAGTAAATTATTCAACATTATTCACCACCCAAACACATTTACTTTGCACGGAACCTTATCTTTCCAAATGTTCCTTAACAAATTTAACATTGCATCATCCAAAATAAGATTAGAGTACTTCAAAGTAAATAACCTCCTTTAACTATTTTTTATTGAAAAACCATATGTATTACGCCACCAGATCACTGAATCAGCTTTTTCCTGATTAGGAAAAGTATCATTCAACATAGAGCACAAACCGAGCTAACCCTCTCAGAACGCTCCATACAGAACTTGGTCATCCACTTTGAAGTCCCAAACCAACTGCTCTACCCAAAGGGGATGAAGATGACGTCATCCTGGAGTCTTGTGCTTCTGGAGAACGGGTATGCATACTACGCCCAAAGGGTTCTAATGAAGAGTTATCAATATTATATGCTGGGGTACTGGAGGATTTCAAGATCCGCATGTCCTTTTCTAATTTTGAGGCAGACATTCTGAAGACCATGAATGTCGCACCCTTTCAGCTTCACCTTAACAGCTGGGGTTTTATTAAAGCTTTTGAGATAGTTTGTGAGACAATTAATATTGTCCCTACCATAGATCTATTCTTTAATTTATTTTAGGTGAAAGGGGTCGATAAGTGTTCTTGGATCCAGATTAATGGCCTTCCCCATAAAAGCAACAACGGTGAGAGTTATGCTAACAATTGCGGTTACCGCGACAACATGTTACTGGTGCTGGTGATGCCTTCTCGAAGGCCTACTTCTTGTCTCTTGAGAAATGGAATCTGTATCCCCTTCCTTATTTCTGGAGAAACTATATGCTCGCTTTTTAGTACCACTGAAACCTTCATCTTTCGATAGACGTCCTTCTTTGACAACTTCTTCCAATCTAACACTCATACCAACCATCTCAGTGAATTCACTTGGTGAACTTTCCACCGTCCATAGTAGAATGACCCGAGAGTTTTCAAAAAGTCCTTATTCATTTCCTTTTCTTCCGTAAGGGGCACAACCTAGGAAACAACCTCACGCCAAAGTTGCGCGTACTCTTTAAATGATTCTTTATCCTTTTGAGTCATAACTCTTAACTAGTCATAATCGGAAGCCATATCTATATTAGAATTATATTTTCTAAGAAATGCCTCACCTAAATCATTAAAAGTGTAAATTTTTGCACTATCTAAGCTCATGTACCACTTCAATGCAGCACCAGTCAAACTGTCTTGGAAAAAGTGGATTAACAAACGTTGGTCGTCAGTGTAGGTGGACTTCCTTCTTATATACATCACAAGATGATCACGAGGACAAGTATTTCCCTTGTATTTCTCTAATTCTATAACCTTGAACTTAGCGGGAACCTTCACATTAGAAACCAAGCAGAGATCACTGACATTCTGTCCAAATAATTCCTTCCCTCTAAGGGCCTTCATCTTCTTTTTTTTTGCATTTCATTGAACTGATCTAGGAAATCATCCATTCTGTCATAAAAACCAAAGCTTTCACTTGGTGCAGCAATAACATGGTAGATTTCATCATTAACAACAAAAATGGTGTGCACAAAAGGCAGTGCAGAAACCTCAAGAAGCTGAACAGGATGAGCAACTTGAGCAGCAGGTTTATACCCTTCAGGCAAGTAGTTCTATGGAATTCCCGATGGATAACCACAAGGCATACGGTGCTGAGGATTAGAAACAACAGGAGTATCAGAGACAAGTACTGTCAGGATCTCAAAGATCACAGTTGTCTGTTATAGTTAAGTAGCATGAGGAGAATAAGAAGGAGGAGGAGGTGGTGGATGATTCTGCATAGCCACCAAGGATCCACCAAAGAAGTTAGATTAACCATTCCAGTTCTCAAAGCAGTATCTTCCTCCCTAAGTTCATGATTCTCTTGCTCTAAACTTTCCATCTTCTTCTTGGTGTTATCCTGAGTGTTATAAGGATCAGACAACTTCTTGACTGGACGAGGTAAAAGAAACATATAAGATATCTGAGAAAAATAGGAATGCAAAAATATGTGCGAAATGATGCATGATATGTAAATACACATGATTTTTTTGTATTTAAATTTCAAGGAACTTAATGAATCGTGATATTTGAAAACATTGAAGGAATAACACATTTCGAAATACTGAATAATCTTATTTCATTAACAAATTCAGAAGGATTACAACTTAAGCATAAGTTTCAATAACACTAAAGTACAAGAAAAAAACTAGAAACTATGGTTCCTAAGGAGTCAATGCTGAAGAAGATCCCTCTTCACGCTGACGCTTCCCTTTGAGCCTCCTAATATGATCCTTCAACTACTTATTTTCTTCCATAAACTTCTCAATGACCCTTTTCCATCCACCAGAAGAAGGAAACAAGTTGGAATAGTCCTACTCACCGGGGCCTGGCTGAAGCTATAGGAAAATAAATCCTCTTGCTTCTCCATCATATCTACCCCATGTCGCTCAAGAATCTCGATCAAATCATCTTTCTCCTTTAGCTGCTTCTAGAGTGCTGAATATCCCATATCCAGAATCTGAAATTTGTTCTTCGAATAATTCTTTTCTTTCTCCATTCTGGACAACGCAAGCTGAAGTTCTTCTATATCAGTTGACATAAAAAGAGCAGGTCCAGAAAATACCATTGGTTCATGATTAGGATAGGGCATCTTGAGTTGAATCTCCCTTGCTTGCACCCACTGAAGATAAGGTTCAAAGGCAACATTTCCTCTTTTTCCTAACTCTCTTATTTCCTTTCTGCGAATGGTAAGCCATGCTTTGTTGATCTTTTCAATAAATGCCTTATTATCATCACCCTTCTTGATAAGGAAAGCTGCTAATAGCAAATTGTTTGGCTTATCAAACATAGGATAACCAAAATGACGACGAGCTAGAATTGGATTATAACTGATACCTCCCTTTGTACCAAGAAGAGGTACATTGGGGAACTCTCCACAACCATTAATAATTGTTTCCCAGTCAAAAATATGATTGATCCAATAAACATCAGAATGACTGAGAGACACAATCTTCTACCACCACTTCAACCCATCTTTGGCATCCCAAAAGGAAGCAGCTCACGGCAGGTGAGAAATAAACCACCTGTACAGTAAAGGCACGAAATAGACGATCATCCCTCCACACTTAGAATTCCGATAATGAATAGAATAATAAGTCTCTCCGAGCAATGTTAGGATTTGATTCCAATTCAAGAAGATATGCATGGAATTCATGTAAATAAAATATTTACCATTGGGAAATGAAACCAATCCATAAATAAGCAAAGCCAACATAGTCTCAAAAGCAACTGTGATACGGTGGGAGAACTGA